TATTATGAGGAAATTGGGGAAAACGGGATTTTAAATCACAAACAATCGAAATATAACCTCTATCTGGTAATATCAACATGTTTTTCAAATTAAAACACAGTACACAGAACAACAATTTCCGATTATAAACCACAACTGCACATCGATTTCCGAAAGTTTAAGCGATTTATTATCTTCTGCGCATGTATTAACACGTTTAAAATCACTATATTGATTCTATCCCGGTAAGCGCACACTTTTTTTTTTTGGGGGGGGGGGGAGTCCAGATTTGTTGGCTCCCGAATATTTGAAATCGCGTCGGCCGCAAATTCGCTCAGTGGGGGGGGGGGGGGGGGGGGCGCACTAATTTTTATTTATTTATTTTGTTTTGGCTGGGGGGGGGGGGGCACGTCCCTGTTTGTCAGTACATTTTTGGCGAATTTGGGGCTGATTTTAAAAAAATGGCGGGGGGCACGAGCCCCCTGTGCCCCCCCCCCCCCCATGGATCCGCCACTGGTTTTTAAGTAAATCAATAGATTATTTGCCATTATATATTGTTTTTTATATAATGTGTTAGAAGAGCTAGGTGCCTCATATCAAATTTTTGGGAGTAACTGTCGATAATAAGCTTAAATGGTAATGTCATATTGATGACATTTGTAAAACCATTTCGCGTAATCTTTGGGTAATACATAAATTAAAAGCATTTCTTCCAACTTCGTCCTTGTTTATGTTATATAGTGCCATACATGAATTATGTTCTTCTTACTTGGGGGAATAAGCACAAATCGTTGTTAGATAGATTATTCAATATTGTTATTAAAAAGGGGGGTTTTTCATAAAGTTATCTTATATGCGACTCTTTTATGCGCTCCCATACCGACCCATCATTTTCTTATAATAAAGTTAACGACTTGTACTTGTGTGTCATTTAAATCAATTCATGTATAAATATGATAATAATATGTTACCTTCGGCTTTTGATTTTATGTCTAAATCAGTTCATTATTACCCAACTAGACACTCGAATGAATTTTATTTGCCCCTTTTAAGAACTCTATTCGCTCAGAACACGTTTAATTATGACGGTCCCAAAATATGGAACGCTCTTGATATTGGCATAAAACCAATTCACTTTCACCCAATTCTTTTCAAAGGAAACTTAAATCATTTCTATTGCAACGTTATGAGAATAGTTGATTTATTGTTTTATACCAACAAAAAGTTCATCGCAAGATTAATCCTAACTGGTGCTAATTAAAATTGCGCGCACAGCCTCTCTCATCATGTTATTAATTCCTACGTACTTTTTTTTGTTTTTGATATACATTGTCCTTTCATGCGGTCCACACCCACTCTTTTCTTTTGTATAATCTTGTCCATGTAGTTCATAATTCTACCCTTGAGCCTCCATACTGCGTCTTATATGTTAATACCTGTTCTCTTCAGTAGTCTCCGTAGACACAACACTTAAAAAAAAAATGTTATTTTTAATTTTTCAATTTCTTTCTCTCCCTCCATCTCTTCTCCCTGTCTCTCTGTCTGTCTCTCTGTCTGTCTCTCTGTCTGTCTCTCTGTCTGTCACTCTGTCTGTCTCTTCTCTTCCTGGCTATCCGTATTGTTGAGAGGTCCACGCTCTACAAGCCATCCTTTTTGTGGAACCCTCCATTTTCACTTGATATAGTAATATAAAGCAACATTTTAACGTATATTATAATTATAATTTATATTTATATATATATAATTCCTTGTAACTTAATTAAAAATAATATAAATAATGTTTTTTTGTTAAGCAAAGATATACATGTACATTTGTATAATTACTTTGGTATACTTTGTAAAATGTTTGTTATTTATTTAATGTACAAAATTTGTATTTTTCTATTTGAAAATGGAAATATAACTTGAACTTGAATTCTTGAAATTTCTGTACAGAGCGAATTGGACAGGACCTCGCAAGATACGTCACAGCGTTGCCAATTGTGTTTGAAAGAATACAATTTGCAAAAATTCATTCCTTTCTTATTCTTAATCAGATTTTGCTCAAACTTTCACTGATCTATTTCTCTATTTTTTTCAGCTTTTATTAAAATCAACTATGATATATTAAGGTGTATTTCTCCTTTTAACGATCCACCTTTCAAATGTTACATCCTTTTGCGGTTGCGGTAAAGTCGTTAAAGAAGGAAAGTGAAAGGACAGAATTTTGAAGAAAAACATTCACAAGACATCTTTCGTTGGGGAAACTAACATTAAGAAATAAATGAAGAAAATAAAAGGGGAATACCCTTTCACTAAGAAGTTGACCAAGAGGTCAATAATGTAGACTACAAAAACAAAATCATAGCTGGAAAGATTTTTAAAAGGAAAATCATGAGGGGCATTTTAATCATTATGTTGGCTTATAGTAACTTTCCATTTTGCGAAGCTTATTGACCGGCAAACTTTGATGTAGTGATTTGTTGGCCTTTTTAATGGTTAAGGTCACATCTATACATGTTCCCATGACAAACTGTGACCTTATTTTTTTTTCTTAAGTTATGTAATAATGATTACAATTATTTTTGTTTGTCCCCCCCCCCCCTTTCTCTCTCACCCCTCCTCTCTCTCTCTCTCTCTCTATCTCTCTCTCTCTCACCCTCCCCCTCTCTCTCTTGCGAATGTGATGAAAAAGCAACTTGACTAATAAACGAGAAAAGCTTTAAAAAGTATTATCACTAACCGAGAGATGGCGATATAACAAGAACACAACAGCACGTTGAGGAGGCCTAGCTCAACCAATGTCGTAAAGAAGATATTACTTGACAGCTCAGTTGTGTTCTTTGTATTAAATTATAATCATGTTCACTGAAATGATAAGTGAACAAATACAAATAATAACTTTAATGTCAAACAGGCTGCTGTCATAATGATAAGGTATTCATCTTCAGGCGGAATTTGATTCTCTATTTTCAATCATTCACAAACAAGGGAGCAGATTAATATATGTAATGGTTTGCTTGGAAGTGCTTTAAATCATTTGTTGATATACATCTTCGCGTGTAGTCCAGAATCTGACTGATTTCTTAAAAAAAAAAAAAAATCTCCACCAACGTAGCGCGATCTTCATCTGCAAGCCAAACATTTTAAGTGATTCACGAAATTCTACGACGCGCCCGGCGAAAAAAGGCTGGGCGTACCATCGATGCGAACTGATTCATGGATTAATTACGCCATCTTCGGCTTGCAGCAGGAGAGGGAGGAATCGCGAAAAAAAACACTGTCTAGATGATCATCATGTAGTATACTTACCTTAGCTTTGCTCATTAAAGAGGTTACAATAAAGAGATGAACTTTCACTCAGGTTTATGAATCTCAATATAAATATATGTAACAGCATTTAGAGATGGCATGACTCGACTGGATTTTGAAGGAAAAATGCAAAAGGACGAGTTTTTAATATTTAAATCTGTTAACTCCTGTTAGGTGCATAATGGTCGTAAATGACAACGTAGTAACACAAAGGCTGCTTGATATTTTAAGCCAAAGTTGAAGTGGGTGCAAGTCAGTTGAGCTGTGCATCTTATGTGATGTCACTGCAGTTAAAAGCTTATCAGGTTTTTTCTCTCTTAATCTTGTAGTTCCCCGGCCCCCCGTCTTTCAATAGTATTATTAATATCAATAATAATATCAGAAAATCGGGAACTCGGTCATTCAGAATGCATAGGTCTAAATGTTGATATTTCTCATGATCTTTAATAATATATATGCTACAGCACAGGCGCGTACACAGGGGGGGGGGGGGGGGGGGGGGGGGGGGGGGGGGGGTGGGGGGGTTGGGGAGATAACCCCACCCCCCCCCCCCCTTTTGAAAAAATTATTCCCATGGCTGACCTAAAAAAGCTGACCTTACCCCCCCCCCCCCCCCTAACAGAGCAACAAAAACAAAAAAAAGTGTCCTCTTACCCCCCCCCCCCCCCACCCCACCCGCTTATTCAGCGGCTGGCTGAGTCGTTGCGAAATTTTCGGCCCGATTTATATATGTTAAACCCTCCCCCCCCCCCCCCCCCCCCCCCCCCCCCCCCCCCCCCCCCCCTTGAAAAAATCCTGCGTACGTGCCTGCTCCAGCAACAATAGATCCAGGCTTTAGTTTGTTAAAGGTATATAATTAGGGTTTTGTTTAGTTTAGGTTTAGGGTTAGGGTTGGGTCAAGTGTTTAGTCCAGAATTGAAATCAGTTAGTGTAGAATATTGACGGTGGAGCAATTGGCAATTGTCACCAGAGCATGTGTCATACACCCTACTATTGTATTTCTTAAACAAGACAAATGCCACTACGTCTCCTATATGCCTCCGCCCTAAAGTAAGTATAGGAAATGGATGGAATTATTCATGACATATCACTTTGAAAACAAAAAGCCTATTATCAAATCGATGACTATGACCTTGACCTACTCGCCCCGAAATCATCTTCCTATAGTAATGCTGTCACCATATTTGAAGCTCATACCTCAAGAAGTTCTTGAAATATTGTGAAAGCAAGGGAAATATCTCTACTACATGAACTAGTCGTTTTTAGAATACGAGATATGCAGTGGCTGCAAGACATGGGCATTAGAAAAGGCAGACAGGAGAGCAAAATCAGCCTTTGAAATGTGGTGTTGAAGGAAGCTACTTGGGATATCATGGAGAGATCACATCACCAATGAACACATAATGTCCATCATCGGAGATCAACCGCCACTTGCAACTAGTAAAAGCTATAATATTTGGGTCACATTAGCAGAAGATCAGTAGACAACCTTGAAAAAATTACCATTCAAGGTATCTTTGAAGGAACACAAAGTAAAAGTAGACCCAAGCTAAGATGGAGTGACAGTTTTAGGGATTGATATCACTGGCCACCCTCTCAATACACTCTACCGGATTGCAGGAGACAGATGCTGATGGAAATGTCTCATCAAATGGGTCAAAATAGGTCAGCTACAGACCTATAGAATGACACAATGATACACACAATGATGTAAGGAAGACAGACAAGGGTTGAAAAATTGCAACATAGCATATTGTTTATTTTTTTAATATAAATTCATCTAAAACATCTTTTTATTTGTCCATACATACAATTCAATACTCTGTGTGTAACAATTCCAACTGAACATTGAAACCACATGAATCACATTCAGATATCGGACACAAAGCAATGTGGGGAACATATATCTACCAAGAAAGGGACTTGATATCACCCCGCCCCACCCTTTTAAAAACCTCCTGAATTTCTGGCAAGCTGGTTCTTAACTCATGGACTACTGAAATTTCTCATTCCCATAAACTTAACACAGGGACCACCCACTTCCCGTCAACAATGTATTAACATAATCAAAACCAATCCCCATCACCCCTCCCCGATCGGGTTACTATTTAACTATTTATTTAATGCTTCTTAACCTCGTACACAAATAAATTCAAATTCTTAAATAGAGGGATTGAAGAACTCGAGACTCTTGCCTCAGACTTGTTAGAAACATAACAAGTTGAATTTTGAATACGGTACATGCGTGAACAGATCTATCGCCAAACACGTCCACCGGGGCTTCACAGTTGTCGATAGCGACGGGAGAAAGGCACATCTTCGAAAAAAGGCTAAGACGGAAAGAGTCAAATAACTTAAGTCAATAAAGCACCAGGACCTAACTCGATCACGGTTGACTTTTATATTAAATGCATTAGCGGTCTATTGTGTGTTAAATACACATGCACCAAAACTTTGGTTATTGACAGCAGAATGCAACAGTTGGAATCATAAATAATCCATTTCTTATAGACACTATTTTTTTGTTGGGGGTGGGGGGGGGCAGTATAATATACCATATCTTTTATTTTTTAAAAGGAAATTGGAGAATAGAGAGTAGCAAGAAATTTCAAAAGGCCTCCTGCATAAAAATGAACATTCAAATTCAACTCTAAAAATCAATCGCAAATATGGACTTGTGTTTGGTTGAAAATGGAGTCCTTCTTTCATTTATGGAGTTGCGTTTGAAACATACCACTGTAATCAGCTTTTGGCAATGAGAATTCAGACTCGATACAATGGTCTCCTAACTGCTTGAATGGAAGAAAGTCTTTAAAGGAACCTTGCAAAGATTCTTATGAATTCTATTTGGTAACAACAACAAAAAAACGTTAAAGAAAAAAAAAATGCAACAAAACTCAAATAACAAAGAAATAAATCAAGGGAGAAAAAAACATTTTCATAACTTACGACAAAAAAAAAAAAATCAATAAATTACATCAGTAGGCAGGACAGGGATTGACAATATCAGAATTGGAAAGCACTGTCCATACAGTTCACACAGATATTGAGCGTCCGATCGATCCAATGCTATCTGACGTGATTTAATCCTGTGTTTCCTAATGTCTGCTTCTTCTCGAACGTGACCATGGAACTGCGGAACGTCTCCAGCATGCCGATGAGGGCCTTGCGTCGGAAGCGTTTGGCCTCGTTGATGATGCTCTCGATGAAGAGGTATTTGGTGTCGACGTCGCCCTGGACTTGGTTGAGGATCTCGAAGAGACGTCTGAAGTCTGGATGGATTTTGAGGGAGATGGAAAGTAGAGATATTAAATTCAATCAATTCATTTTTCAATTCTGGTAATGCACGTGGGGAGAGAGAGAGGGGGGAGGAGGGAAAGAGGGAGGGAGAGGGTGAGAGAGAGAGAGAGAGAGAGAGACAGACAGAGAGAGAGAGAGAGAGAGAGAGAGAGAGAGACCCCAATTCACAAAGGAGATTTGTCGACAAACCTAGGTTTATGTGCGTCATATGACGCGTTTCGATGCGTTTCAGACCAAGGTTCAGACAAACCTTGGTCTGAAACAAGTCAAAACGCGTCATATGACGAACATAAACCTAGGTTTGTCTACAAACCTCTTTTGTGAATTTGGGCCATAGAGACTGGGGGAGAGGTACAAAGCTGTCACAAAGAAAATAGAAATAGCATAAGATGGCTGAAGAAGAAAGGATGCATCTTACTCAGAAAACAAAAAGGGGTAAAGAGAAATTATCGGTGAAATTGATTTGAGAATGCACTGGACACTCCACTCATTAGTAAGCCTGACAATAACACAGATGACTGCATTTTAAAATTAAACATGCATGTCATTGCATTTTCATTCAAAATGTAATACAGATCAATGGCAACTTTCAACACACCGGTTTACTAACATGTGCAAATTAATCATTACTTTTCTTCCCAGAACCCCTGTAAGGCATAACCAATAATTTGTATTCAATTCATAATACATGTCCTACTGCTATTTCAGGGAAGTATCCAACATACATAAGTTTATCAAGAGCAACCTATGCATGAAATAAGTCAACTGGTCTATTGCCACTTAAATATAAAGTTGAGCTCTTGTCATGCGATTGCATTGTGAAAGTAACGGTGTGGAATCGATCAGAAAATTTGATCACGTAGCATATAAGTATTGGTGTGTACTGCAATATTCTGGAGTAATCAAAATAATAAGAAATTTGGCCCAGTCTTGTAAAGTAACAATCACTGTACAAAGAAAGATGTATATCGGACTACACAAACATGTTGCATAAAAATTGGGCCTCATTTTTAAACTGTTACTTGTCATATTTAGAATACGAAGGCGTTTGAAGAGCCATGCTTTTCAGGGAACATTTTTTCTTTGATGTTCTTCCACACTTGCATAATAACAGTGATAATGCTCACAAATTAATTTCTACCTCTCCACATAACTCAATATTCTCTTTAAGCTTTCATAGTACAGTGTCCATATCCATCTTTCTGATCGTGCTAATTTCTAGATATAGTCAAACCTGCTTTAGCAAACACCTATTTAGAAAGACCAACAGCAACAACGACCACATTCTTTCTTTCTTATTGAAACATGTAATAACGTAACCTGCACATAAAGACCACCGGTCCATGAAGACCACTTCTCCATTGAGTGCTCTTTATATACAGGTTTCACTGTACTGCAATGGAATATTCACTGAATAGGCCTGTACGCCACTTACTTTTGCCTGGTTTCCGGACCTCCCTTATAACCATCGCTCTCAACCTGGAATTGACCGCATTCACATCAATATCTGAGTTCATAGAGTCTGTTCTCTGATACGCGTTCCTCACATTGTTCATTGTCGACGCGGCAGTGCTCGACTGCTCCGACGTTGGAAGCACATTGTTATTATTCATCTTGCGATGTTTGTTCGTCGTATTGTTCGACTTCTTCGAGTCCACGTGATTTGTCGTCGTCGTCGAACCTGATGACGAAACTGGAAGGGGTGATGATGATGATGATGATGATGGGGGCGTCGCCTCATCCTCTGAGGATGCATTGCTGCTTGTTTCCATGGCAACCTCATCGTTGATGCCGTCCATGATGATGACAAGCTCGTCCGAGGAGCCTCCTGATTCATCGCTTGATGATACGGATAGGTCGGGTGGTTTGCCATCCGGTGAAGGTAGCCTCTCTGGGGTCGATGAACCTAAGAGTAAGACACACAAAAACAGTAAGTTTGTAAGTGCGATGCTTAAGAGAGGATTGGTATGTTGGTTGGTTGGTTTGTTAACTTACTTGGTTGCTAAGACCGCACGTAGACCGCACAATAATGTACCTTTTCTACAAATCTGTGATAGAGAGCATGATAGTAAACGACTGCGTTGTGTGGTTCACAGCATGTCGAAAAGTAGACTTGTCTATGCTAAAAAGAATTGTTAAACAAGCGGGAAAAATTGTAGGGAAGAATCTAGACTTCGAAGATATATGTAGAAATAGAGTACTTAACAAGGCAAAATCAATCTACCATAACAGCCGTCACCCCTTAAATGATAATTATGTAGCCCTGAGGTCAGGAAACAGGTTAAGATCTCTAAGGTCCAGAACGAGCAGGTTTCTCAATTCATTTGTGCCAAGCTCAATCAGGCTGATGAACGAGGAGGGTTTAATCTAAGTCTGAATAATAAACTGAATTTAATCTGAATTGTGAATTCAATTTGAACTGTGAACCTAACTTAATCTGAATTATGACTGAATGTAATCACCTATTTTGAATTATAACTTGTATTTAATCTGAATTGTAAATTTAATTTAATTTGAATTATGAATTGTAGGTGATCGGAACTTGAATTGAATTACATTATGAAATATGAATTGAATTGGTCTGAAGTATAAATTGTATTGAATTTGAATTGTGAATTTCATTTAACCCGAAATATGAATTTAATTCAACTACTTAGTTTGAATTATAAATTGAATTTGATTTGAATTGTTAATTTTATATTAATCTTAATTACGAATTTAATTGATCTGAATTATAAATTGTAGTTAATCTGAATTATGAATTTATTTAACCTGAATTGTTAATTTAATTTAATCTGAATTATGAATTGTACGTGATCGGGATCTGAATTGAATTATTTTCTGAAATATGAATTGAATTTGTCTGAATCATGAATTGTACTGAATTTGAATTGTGAACTTAATTATAACCCGAATTATGAATTTAATTTTATTATTTAGTCTGATTTATAAATTGAATGTGATTTGATTTTGTTAATTGTATTTTAATCTGAATTACGAATTGAATGTGATCGGGAATTGAAATGGATTTGATTCTGAATTACGAATTGAATTGGTCTAAATCTTTAATTGTACTTGATCTGAATTGCGAATGAATTTAATCCGAACTAGAAATGAATTTAACTACATAGTTTGAATTTATGAATCAAATTTTAGTCTGCATGTTGAACTATCGCATTTGTTGTTACCTATGTCCAAGTTAAATGTTCTACTCTATACCCATCTGTATCTTATTGATGTTTATAATGTGTAATCTTGTACTGACATGCAAATGAAACAAATTTCCAATCATTGGACAATAAATTTGAATATGAATATGAATATAAGAAAGCATGTATGTGCTTGTAAGTGAGCAGCCAGGGGACGAACGACTTTAAGTCCTCTCCGAGGGACTTGGTAATGATGATCAATACCTTACCAAAGGACAGTAGCGCATCGACTTGGTAAGAAACTGGGAGGTCCCTGGTTACGAGACGACTGCTCTACCACCGAGCCATTGCACCTCCTCTTAGGATCCCTTAGTTATAAAAATTGATTTACCAGATACTAAACCTTACATTTCTTAACCCCTACTTCCTCCCAGTTTCCTGATAATAATCCCACCACCCTCTAAAAGAAATACAACAGTTACAACAGATACCTATCACAAGCATCGATAATCATCTTGTAAAACATTGCCCAAACGAATCTCTTTAAAAGCACCTCTAATCGATCCCAGACAAGCATTCTACACTTGAGATCAATGCGGCTTGATGTTTTCTTTTTACATTAATTTTGACCGTAAGTAAGCAACCAAAGTCAAGATTTATAGTGCACACTGGAGGGCCTCCTAAAAATCACATGAAACTGCTTTATACAGCCCTACTTTTCATCATTTGGAAGATTTTTACCGTGATTCCATAGTTTCCACAAAGAAAACTGACATGCAAATGCTAGGAAGAGGATTTGGCATGTAGACATTGTGAGTTTAAAATCTGTACTTATAATTCAAAATCAACAGGATGATTTGACTTGAAAATATAGTCCATGAATAATGATCATAACGACTATTTCACTGAGGTGGGGAATTTGAGATTGTAGATAGCTATATGAGTCAGAGAAAAAAATATTAAAACAATTTGGGGGGCTACTTTTCAAGCTTGCTTGCAAATAATACTCTTTAGTTTGTTTTGCATTGAACTCTATGCAAATTTTGGAGGGCTCTTTTATGACTTTCAGGGGCTCCTTTTTGGCATTACGAGGGCAAATTTGCCCGAGCCCCTATGTATTTTTTCACTGAGAGTGATTCTCACCAGAGTTCTTGTTCTCCAGATTACCACCATTAGGGGTGGCATTCTGGGCCCTTCGTTGGACTAGCTGAAGCAGTGGTAGCTTGAGTAGGGCGCCCTGGGCCCCGGGGGACGTCGGTCTGCGGCTGGGAGGCGACGCCCCTCTGAGCTTCTTGATGGAGAGATTGCTGTCGGAGGCCCGCCTTTTCTGAGGTATGCCTGCCATGTGGTCGTTGATGTCAGCCTCATCGACCATCATTTTCTGGAGATGGAAAGAGGATTGGAATATGACGTGTTACAGAGTGTCAGAGTTTGATGATATAGGATTAAATGTCTAATACTGCTTTTATGCTTCTAAGAGTCAGAAGGATGTTAACACCGTGTTCAAGTATGAATGGCATAGTGGCACTCAGAAGATCATATACAGTTAAATGTTTTGTAATTTTTAAGTATTTTAAAAATTGATTTGTACAGATGTATGTTTCTTAAAGCTTGCATCTAAAAGTATTAAACAAGGGCCCTTATTCAACCAGTCCACCTTTCATTCTTGATTTACAAAGAACAAACAAAAACATCAAATTTATAAATATGAATAAGTATGAATAATTTAGTTGAAAACAGGAGCATCAGGCACTTCAAGTAAAAGGCATCCAAAAAGAGAGAACAAATGAGAGTAAATAAGTGCATATTTACTATTCAGAGGAAGAGGAAGAGGAAGAGGAAGAGGAAGAGAAAGAGAGAGAGAGAGAGAGAGAGAGAGAGAGTAAATGACATAGAGACAGATTGTAATGAGAGAAAGTAGAAAGTCACAGACAGACTTACTTGAAGAAATAGATATAGATAGGTAGAGAGAGAGAGAGAGAGAGAGAGAGAGAGACACACACACACACACACACAGAAAGAGAGAGAGCTCTAGAGAGAGAGAGAGAGAGTAAAACAGATAGAAAATCTGACAAACAGCAAAAGAAAAGTTACAGAGAAAACCTTGTACCTTGTCTTTTTCAGTTGCCAATTTGAAGGGGTTGCCAAACGTATGTAACCTGGCTGGAGCAGGATCTGCTTCCCGTAGAGGGCTTGGTATACGCTTCAAGTACTCCTGATAGTTACCCATCTCCGCTATGGGAATGTTGTGGAATTTATCTGCAAAGGAAGGAAAGAAACACAGGAGAACTTGAAATACATGGAACAGGGATAGTGTTGGAAATGCCACTGCACTGTTTTGTGTGTACTGCGCTGGTCGAGTTTTGCCGCAGCACTAATGTATTTCGACAAGATATTAATCTACATTTGTCATACCCCACCGAGGTTAGGTAAATGGGTACCCCGTAGGAAGAAATTCCTTGAATCCTTGAGCGCCTTTCATGGTAGCTCAGCAAAGCTGGGGTATAATAATATGATTGCAGGGCCCTCAGGGAGATCAGTATTAAAGCCTGTCTGCACTATTTTGGCCAGGAGGGATAAGACCTCCCTGCATGGTCACTGACAGGTGTTTATCTATTCAAATCAGCTCACACTTAACATAAGCAAAAGGGGATCATGGGGGACCACTGGTCACCAATTAGGCATTGTTTGCTATATAGAGTGCACAAGTTGCTACAAGTAGTGCAGTTCTGCTTCAATACACCAGTTTACGGTTAGGGGCGCCATTTTAATTTACGAGTAAACAAACCAAATGACCTTTAGAGGTCAGTGGTTTGTGCGTAATTAAGATTGTGCCCATGCAAATTATGATAACATCACTGCCTGGCGCTGCGTTGTGCGCTCACATCATAATTTGCATGGGCGCAATCTTAATTTTATGCATAAATACTACTCACCTCTAGGTCATTGGATTTGTTTACTCGTCAATTAAAATGGCGCCCATGTCTGCTCATGCGCACTGATGTAACCGTAAACTGGTGTATGCTGATGAGGCTACCCTGGGTAAACAAGACATGTTATTATCATCATTATTACCTTCGTTCATGAACCTGACCGATCGGTTGGACGTGATCTGGAGGAAGTTGGCTCTCATCCTCACCACCTGGTCCAGGATCTCCTTCCGAGGAATGTCAAAGGGGTTGCGGTACGTCTGGGGTCGGATGTCACGGTCGCTGACCCTTAGCATGTAACCAGGGAACTCGTTGACGTTGTTGTCCGCTCGGACCGTGATGGTCTCGCCCGTTATACTCTGGAGGAGCTGCTGGAAGTCTCGTCTTGCTGCAAGGGACCGCAACGGAGACCTGAGGGCAGGTTTAGTAAAAGGATACAAATGTTGATATTTCCGTTGGTTGGTTTGTGGTTTTATTTCAAATAGCATGCTAAGATATCAAGCTCGTTGCTCTTGGAGATGTAGTCATATGAGCTGCAATGGAAGTTCTTTATCAATGAGCTTTTCAATTCAAATATTGCTTACATAAAATGAATCTCAAATGAAATTTGTAATACAACTGATTTATACAATCTTAATTGTCGACAAGTAATCAAAGAATTTTAGGAAACAAAACATACAAGTCCATGTGCCTATGCAGTGCATACAATAAACAACTTAATAATTCATACCTCTTGTAAATTCAATGTTTTTTGTGTTATTTGTTACTCAAGAATCAAGGTGGACTGGCTGAATTAGGGCCTTTGTCATATTCTCAAGAAACAAAAATGGGTACAAATCAATATTTTACATACTTCAAAAGTTATAAAAGTTGGTAAGGGTACAAATAATTTAGTTGGTAATGGTATATCTTTGCAGAACATACCTTGACTGTACTTTGATGCCTAGCTCCTGAGCCCTGGGTCTGCTGGCGACGAGGCTGGAGAGCTTCTCCCCTTCCACCTTGCTGTGTTGCTTCAGCTTCTTGAGGTAGGTCACCACGCTGTAGCTCAGGCAGTTCTCGAGGCCGTCGGGTATCAGGTTGGGTGCACCCATGCGTCTTAGAGCTACCTTGAGTGGCTGTGGGACACGAGACAAACAGGTTATTTCAAGCATGGGTAAAGATTATGGAAGTAACTTAAGTCGCTCACGCCAATAAATCATAGTCAATAACAGGTGCAGTGGTCGAGTGTTTAAGTCCCTGGACTGTCGATCACAAGGTGCCCGCGGCACTAATATCCTTTGGCAAGACATTGATCTACATTTGCCACACTCAACCCAGGTGATGTAAATGGGTACCAAGTTTGGAAGCGCTTAGTGATTGTAATAAGCGCTATATAAATACCGAGTATTATCATTATTATTATGAGATATCACTAAATTTGATTTCTGTGGAGGTCTCATCTTTATTCCTTGGAAAGAATTTTGAAAATGAAAATATAGCAAAAACATCCACTCAAGTTTTTCTTTCAAAAAGCATAAATCCATAGTTTTACCTTCTCTGATCTCCTCTCCCCCCCCCCCCCCCCATAAATACTGCAATTCGATTATGATTTTTTTAATGTTTTTAATTCATCTTTTTTGATCCCCTCCCCCCTCCCCTATAAATACTATAATTTGACTATGACTATTTCTTTTTGTCAATTGATCATTGAACTTTTAACCAGTGAAAACCTAATTTCAAAATAGGTAATATGCTTGATTTCAATTTCAATTTTAGTTGGTGAATTTCGTCACTCCAAAAAGTAAGAAAAAACTATCAAAGCTCACCCCTGCGTAGTATCTGGGGACTTCCTCCAAGTAAGCATCGAACGCCTGCTTCCACTTCTGCGAGGGCTTGAGCTTGTGGACCTTGCACAGGTCATCAAGGAGGGGGATGAGGGTCGGGTAGTTGTAAGGCATGACGATGAGGTTAACGCAGGAGAGGTTGGAGGAGGCCTTGAGGAAGCCAAAGGGGTAGCCCATCGGGTCGCCATTCTTGCTGCTGTTGGGTACAAATACCTGAACATGGGATGAACAAATAATGATAATAATAAAGAATAACAACAACAACATGAACAACATTCATAAAATGTAATGTGCTCAAGGCACAGTCGGGTACAAATACCTGAACATAGGACAACAACAAAATAATGATAATAATAATAACAGCAACAACATGAACAACACTTGCAATATGTAATGTGCTCCAAGCACTGTAAAGAGAGAAGAAAGAAAATGAAAACATACAATGGACAAAATAATAACGTATATTAAACTGGTGCTCTGAGAGAGAGGAGAGAGAGAGAGACAGGGGAGATAGAGGAAGCAGAGCTGAAAACTAACAAATTCAAAGTCCAGACCCTCCCCCCCCCCCCTCCCCCTACTTTTAAAGCTTTAATATAGGGCTCATAAATAGATACTGTAAAAGCTTCATCCAGTTTTCCCTCCGAAAAAGGTTGGTAAGGGGTCTTGGAAAAGGGTCAAGTATCTTACCTGCCAGCACGAGTTAGGGTTGCGTCTCTCCAGGATGTACTGGGTCAGAGGGGATGGCTCTAGCTCATACTTGTCGAACGGGAGCTGGTCCAGGATCATCGGTTCGCTGTTTGTACAGGTGAACTTCACGACTGGGTGGGAAACACGCTGAGGCTGCAAATATTGACAGAATAAAAGTATAAACTTCATCTGGAATGCTACTCATTTACATGCACAAGTTCTGTTTGATAAAAAAAATTCACCACAAACAAAACATTCTAGAACACAAATGTCATGTGGATAAATACAGGTAATTTGGCATAATTGAATAATAGCAAGAAAAAGAGTAAGACTTTATTGGGTATTTTACACAACACATCATTATGAACCCCTGCCCCCTCCCCCCCCCCCCCCCCCAAACCAAAATATTGATAATTCTTTGGGTAACTCTGGAATGAGACAACTTTTCTATAACAAATAATATATTTTTAGGGCTTGGATTTATCAATCGTGATTGAGGACTACTGGTATGATTGGCTGGCATATGGCGAGCGTCATTTAACATTTCTATTCTTGCCTTTTCTCTCACAGAATGTAAAAAAGACACTGTTAACTAAATCATTCATACCCCTTCTAAATTTGATGTTTTCTGGGTTTGTCGCAACTCAAGAATGAAAGGTGGACCGTTTGGATTAGGGCCTTTGTTATATACTCTTAGATGTAGGCTTTAAAGCCACACAGTCCTACTTGAAGCTACTTGCTCCCTCTATATAGAAAACAATGCCTAATTGGTGACCATTGGTCCCCCATGATCCACTTTTCTTATGTTAATTTAGAGCTGATAAGCTAACAACCTGTCAGTGACCTTGCATGGTGGTCTAATCCGGTAGTACAGATAAGCTTTAATATGTCACTTTCTCAAGAAGAATAAATTGGGACAAATCAATATTTCATATACTTTAAAAATTACATAACATGGTAAGGGTATGAATAATTCAGTTGTCAACTTTATTTGGTCAAATGTTGTCGAGGGTTAGTGTTCTCTTTAGGGCAATATGCACAATACTACCTGGGGGTGTTTCACAAAGACCCTAAGTTGAACTAAGTTGAACTTAGAAATACTGCCAATGCAATTGAGTTTTGTCACCACGATTGATTGGCCTCATCAACTATAGCATTACATTATTTTTTCTGTATTAAATTCCAACCCGTGCATGATTCTCACAACATTTTTAATTGTAATACAATACTTAGTCCATTGTTTTCCTTGTTTAATTACAATATCTGAAAAGAACCATGCTTCTAATTCTTGATAATTTATATCACATGTAACGCAAGCTGTTTACCAATCTTTTCTTGTCATATAACTTCATTTAAAGACGTTTTTTTTCTCCAACACATCATCTGCTTATTTCATATTTTAAGGATTATTCATCGTTATTTGATTTTTTTTCTCATTCGCAATTATTATTGTCATAGGGCCTTATGGCTGATCGTTTGCTTTTCCTGTATCATGATATGCCCCTGCATGTATCGATTGCCTTTTAATGTTCGTAATGCCGACAGAGTTTCATTTTATGTTTTTGTTCTTACTTCATGTGTCTGTTCTCCTCTCCTTGTTTCAAGTGGTTATTCCATCTCTTCTAATCGTGTTTATTCTTTCAGCGACAGCAATCTTCTTTGTTCTGTACAGTTTATGCATATGTCTTGTTCATTTCTTCTTTCTCCTTGCTGCCTTTGGATGCTCTATTTTTCTCTTCCTTTCCCCATCTCTCCTTGACAGCGCCAAAATTTATCATGTATTTTATTTCCTCATATCGTCAATTATTCATATTCGGATACTGATTCTGAATTCATGATGGCAGGTTCACCTGATAAGCAGCCATTCCCTTTCCATACGGTGAATGATGATGATTTTTTTTTATTTACACAGACCTATTCGACTTGAGGATGAAGCTAACACCCCTGCTTATTCATTTGATAATTCTGTTATGGACAATTTCAACTCTTCACTTGAAGAACTAGAATTCGACTTTGATTTTGATGATCCTGCTCATCGTAACGTTTCCAAATATGTAACTGTTAATCAGTTTCGTAATGTAGTGAAAGAATTTCGTAGTGATACGTTCTCCTTGCTTCATTTGAATATTAGAAGTTTAAATAGGCACTTCAATGATCTACTTTCGCTTCTTGATAAGCCCTCTCAAAACCCATTATCCTTAATTGGTCTTACTGAAACCTGGTTAACTTGTGATTCCAATCACCCATACTCTATTGATAACTACGATTTTATTCATAAAAATAGGCAAGAAAGACTGGGTGGCGGCGTTGCTTTATATATCCTTAAAAAACTGAATTATACCGTTCTAGATAATCTCTCAACATGCAATAATATTATAGAATCCCTTTTTATTGAAATCGTGATTCCTGGTAATAAGAACATAATGGTCGCGTGATATATCGACCCCCGAGTTCGAATGCACACAAATTTTTATTGTATTTATCCGACACATTACAAAATGCCAGTTTCAACAATAAAGATTGTTTTTTGATGGGCGACTTTAATATAGACCTGTTAAAGCACTTACATAGCAATGTTTCTCAAGAATTTCTCGAAACAATTTTGTCTGCTTCTTTCTTACCCCTTATTTCCACGCCAACTCGTGTTGCAAATACATCTGCTACTTTAATTGATAATATTTTTTCTATTGTTACTCCACATTTTGATTCTTACATTATTCTTTCAGACATATCTGACCATTACCCCATTGTGACTCACTACACGGTTTCACAGCCATTTAACAACAATGGTCCTTACCCAAGTAGACGTAAAATAACTGTAGAGAATTTAGCTCGCCTTGGCGCTAATCTTGAAAATACTGATTGATATAGTGTTTATTCCGAAAATGAAATTAATTGTTCTTATGAAATGTTCTCTAGTATATTAAACAACCAATTAGATACTAACATGCTGAAGCAAAAAGTCAAACATGGTTATAAGAAAATGCCCAAACTCCCTTGGATTTCTAAGTCTATATTGCGATCAATAAATCGGAAGAATAACCTTTATTATAAATATAAAATAAAAGGCACTGAGCAATCAAGGAGAAAATATACATCCTATAAAAACATTTTGACTCGGATTATTCGATTAGAAAAGAGAAATTACTTTGTAAATCGTTTGAAACTTTTTAAAAATGATATGCAAAACACTTGGAAGGTAATCAAACAAGCAATGAACCAAGTTAAAAATAAATCTGAGGTAAATAAGATCAAATTTGATGATGAGATTGTTGAAGACCCAAAAGATATAGTTAATATTTTTAATACTTATTTTTCTTTAATAGGTGATAATCTTGCTAAAAACATTCCGCCTTCAAACACAAATTTTGTGGAGTTTCTAGGCCCTCACAATCCAAATTCTATTTTCTTTGTTCCAACTAATAGGCAAGAAATTGTGAAAATTGTTTCTAGTCTGAAAGATAAGAAAAGTTCAGGGTATGATGGAATCAATAATGTCATACTAAAATCCATTATTCCCTTTATTGCAGATCCATTGGTTCACATCTTTAATATATCACTTTTACATGGTAAATTTCCTAACTCTACGAAAATAGCCGAAATTATTCCGTTATTTAAAAAGGGTGATAAATTGGATGTGGGTAACTACAGCCCGATTTCTTTATTATCTTCATTTTCCAAAGTTTTGGAAAGAATAATCTATATCCGGATGATGTCCTTTTTGAAAAAATATGATGTCTTTTCAAACTTCCAATTTGGTTTCAGAGAAAAGCACAGCACCGTTCATGCTTTAATGTCTTTTGTTGAGAAGGTTGCCCACGCAATTGATACATCGTCACACACTGTAGGTATATTCCTGGACTTCTCCAAGGCTTTCGACACGATCAATCACGAAATTTTACTTTAAAAACTATCTCACTATGGTGTATGTGGAAAGGCCTTGGAGTGGTTCAGGAGTTACCTCTCTTATACTCTTTTCACACTGGTTTTGCTTAACCCCGTACTTTGCTTAGCCCCGTACTATCCTTAACCCCGGACTATTTTTTTGGCTTTTCACACTCGCTGTTTTTAGTCCCGTACTAGCGCCTATTCCGGAATAAGAAAATTCCCGCTGTTCTCACTGCATTTCGTTAACCCCGGATATCGTGTATGTTATGATTGGACATACCTCGCATCTGGCCAGCTGCGATACGCTCCATTGCGTAGTACCGGACTATTTTTCGTTTCTGTTCTCATTCATTTGCTTAGCACCGCAATTGCGGGGTTAGCAGGAGTTAGCACCACAATTGCGGAGTTAGCCCCGCTATTTTGCAGGGTTAGTTAACCCCGTACTATAGGTGGGGTTAGCCAACTTTAGCCCACTTTGGTAAAAACCAGTCTGAACAGAAAGTGGAATAGGCTTAACCCCGTACTATAGGTGGGGCTAAGACCCCCCCTTAACCCCACCTATAGTACGGGGTTAAGCAAAATATTGCCAGTGTGAAAACAGTATAACATCTCTGCATCTGAATTATGCAATATTAGTTGTGGTGTCCCACAAGGTAGTCTGCTAGGCCCGCTACACTTTATTCTTTATATAAATGACTTTTGTAAATCGTCTAACTCCCTGTCGTTTATTTTATTTGCAGATGATACTAATTTATTTTTTTCACACAAAAATCCAAACGTCCTGGTTGATAAAATCAATGCTGAGTTATTAAATATATTGCAACGGATACAAGCAAAAAAATTGTCACTTAATTTCCAGAAAACAAACTACATGCTATTTACGGTAGTAACTCTTTGGATTCATTACCCTCTGACATTATTTTTGACAATACCCCTTTGAAACATGTCCCTCTTACCAAATTCTTGGGTATAACAGTCGATGATAAACTTTCCTGGAAACCACACATTGATACTATTTGTAAAATCATTTCGCGCAATATTGGTGTTATTAATAGACTAAAATTGTACTTACCACAATCATCATTATTTATGCTGTATTCTTCATTGATCTTGCCATATTTGAATTACGGTCTTCTAGTTTGGGGCAATACACATCATACATTGTTGGAAAGAGTTCTATTGCTGCAAAAGAGAGTTATTCGTATTATCTGTATTGCCCCCATAAGCCAAATTGTTTTCTTTCCCTCTTTTCTTCAGCCCATCTCAAAACAAAAACTTGCCATCATGTTCTTGCTCTTTTTGTTTCAGCTATCTCAAGGATTTTGTGCGCTCCCTATTTCGTGCTCGATCTCTACAACTTTCCTTTCCTCTCCTCTCCTTCCCTCCAAACGCAGCCTGCATTTTTTCCCCCTTTTTTTTCTCCTTTTTTTCTTCTTCTTTTTTCTGTTCTTCGTCATGTAATTTGTTACGTCTTCTTGTTTACAGTCATTACGTGTTTTAATAAATGTTCTCTGTTGGCCACTATTCTTTCATTGATTATGTATTCCATATTTTGTTCATACTCATTATTATTTGAGGGGTCCACAATTTACAAGCTTTGCTTTTCAGTGGACCTCTCCATTTCTTCAAAATATAAATGCAGTTAAATTTTAAAATTCATTTTGTGTCTTCCTAAAATGTATAAATTATTATTAAGATTTGTTTATTACCAATGTAACTATGTTTTGTATACATTTTACATTGTATTCGTTATTATGTATTGTATTTTGTTGGAACTGAAAAAATAAAAATGAAATGAATGAAATGAACTTATCTCTAAGTTGGACTTAACAATTATGGAAAGCTGCTGGTAATTTTAAAAACATTTTGTAAAAGATATTTTAAAAGGCATCAAATGTTAACTCAAATCATTCATATTTTCTATCATCATGGGAGATTTCATGTTCTCGATGTGGAATTTTAAAAAGTCTAAAATACTTGAATTTTTGCTTTTGAATATATTTCATTATAAGGCTACACATGGCTCTCCATAATTTTTAAGTCCAAACTTAGAGTTAAGTTCTACTTAGAACCTATGTGAAACACCCCCCTGGATAGCACCCTGTCTTGATACATACCATTGATGGGGCCTGGGGGTCGGGCCAGAATGTCTCTGGGATGGGCCAATGTCCCATGGGCACCCCGCTCTTAGGGTTGGGCCTCACATGGATCATTCTACGGCAGCTGTACCAGGAGGTGTCCGTTGGGGTAGGGGAAGGGGCCCCGTTCCGGCCATTAGGGGGCACCACCAAGTTAACCTGGGCATCTACAGAAAGGTAAAGAGTACATTAATTAAAGAAAAATATTGTACAGTCAAACCTGCTTTAGTGACCAGCTGTCTTTAAAGACAACCTGTCTACAAAGGCCACATTTGTTGTTTCCCTTGAAAATGGTTTCTCATTGAATCATGTACCGGTACTAAAGGAACCTGTCTACAAAGGCCACTTTTTGTGTTACCCCTTGGGCAGTCGCTATAGACAGGTTTGACTGTATTTTGAATTCTATAATGGTTATGATTTGACGTAGCATATTTGGTTATTTGCCTTTTTGTTGTTGGTAAAGAATTGACAAGTTACCGGTACATGTATATTTGGTATATTGACATGGTTTTTACCTTCTTTGTAATGATTCAAGTTTATTTTAGTATATTGCTTTGCCGGCAGTTTAATGTGACTCTTTCTGGTGGAACAATGAATATGTAGCATTATTGTCTGACTGATGGGAATGATATTTGGATATATAGAGTTGACAATATTCAGGCAGGACTTTGGAAAATCATGTCATAATATCTCATACCCATCGAGAAACGCCTCCAACCCACTCATGGAATGGAAAGGACACTTAAAATTGCATTTCATGTATTATCCCTTTCCCTTTAAAAATACTACTTGCTTCTTACCCATTTATGTATGTATTCTTTTAATTGAATATGCATTACATTTCACTGGTTTGTGATTTCTGTGATGGAATGATATGATTATTTTTTTGAAGATTATGAAGTATATAGGGCATGCCGTGTGTTTGAATAAAGAGAAAAGTGAATGTATGAATACAATATGAAATATGTACAGGATTAACAGACAAAGCTTTTGAAAGACGAGTTGCAACACACTGATGGACGAAGGGTTATCTCGTTCCCTGAAATAAAAATCGAGAGACATAGAGAGTGAGAGACAGAGAGAAAGAGGAAGAGAGGAGAGAGACATAGACAGAGAGAGAGAGACAGACAAAGAGAGTGGGAGAGGAAGAGAGAGAAACAGACAGAGACAGAAAGTTAGAGAGGAAGAGAGAGACGGAGAGAGAGAGAAAGAGAGAGAAAGAGAGAGAGAGACAGAGGGAGGCTCTTCTTCTTCTTCTTGATTTGATTGGCAATTACCGGTAGTCAGTAGTCACAATTGACACACACTATTTTATGAATTATTCATATATACATATGTACAATTACATGTCATAAATTACTATTTTTAGGATTTTTTTTCCATCCTTTTTTGTTGTTGCTTATTTTGTCTCAGTAGTTTAGGAGAAAATTATATAAATAAATAAATTTGGGACAAGACGGCCTAGTATATATCACCTCTGTATGCCCACACTTGTGTACTTCACACTCACCCCCACCCTTTTCAAAATGCCATCTTACCAGTAGTTGAGGTTCATTTCTCAGACTTTTGGTTTTTAACTTTATAGGCAATACAGTTAAGAATAGTCTTGAGAAAAGCTGCATGGCTTTATAGTAATCCATGGTGGGTGGGAGGGATTACGACAGTGAAGATTGGAAGAGTATGAACAAAAATACAAAGATGGGTAGACACAACACAACACAGAATGAGAGATACGTGGAATGTGAGGGGTAGGGACGGAGACAGCCAGAGGGGAAGGAGCAGAAGAGATAGAGGCAAAGTCACAGTGAAACCTGTATATCATGACCGCTCAAGGTAGACTAGAGATGTGGTCTCTATAGGCAGGCGGTCTTTGTGTACAGGGTTCTGTTATACATGTATCAATGGCAAAGTCTTTTCAAGGGAAATTTAAAAAATTTTGGTCTTTACAGACAGTTGCTAAAGCAGGTTTCACTGAAAATAAAGACATTGAGATTTGTCTGAAAAAAGGGTGAAGATGAGACAGAGATTTTGAGATGAAGACGGAGAGAGAGAGATGGAAAATGAAGATAGTAAGATAAATGACAGAGACACAGGCAGAAACAGAAGACACACAGAAGATAAAGTAGGCAGGAAAAGAAAGACAAGATGAAAAACATTGAAATGTGGTACTGATGCTAAGGGTGGATAAAAAAAAAAAAGACGGGAAGGCGAGAATAGGATTGGGAGAGACAGGAAGAGAGAGAGAGAGAGAGAGAGAGAGAGAGAGTGGAGGGGGAGAGGGAGAGAGAGACTAGAGAAGGACAATAAAGAAATATTGTGGGAAAAGAGCCTCAATTTGTGGCTAAACCACAAAATGCCTCGGGGAAAGATGAGGGAATCCCCCTTTATCATACAACAAAAAAATGTTTGAATGCTTCATCACTCAGGAGAATGCTAATGTAATCAGATACCAGTAGATATAATACCAAATCTAATCTCCTCTTCAATGTTCAATCAGACTGGATAAGGTTAACCTGTTCCCTACCAATGGCAAGATAACTTTGCCAAGATACACAGGTAGAAGAGGTACTATGTACCGACTAAAAGCAGGGGTTTTCAACCTTTTCTTAGTCAGGGAACCCTTTTAAAACATAGAAACTTTGGTGTCAACCCAATACCAAATTCATAAAAGAGGATTCATTTGCATCACTTTGGCACTCGTTTAAGTGCCATATACATCTGTATCAACATTTTTATTATATGATTAAATAAAAAAAAATTGTAATAAACCACACTAGATGAAATATAGAATATGTGCGGGCTCCTCGCTGCCGAATACAGTTCAGCAGATAGAGAGAGAGAGAGAAAGAGAGATAACTTGAATTTCTAATGTGGTAAGAAATTTACCGCTATCCCCATACTACATATTACACATGCTAAATCTCCAAATAAATGAGCACGAGTGAGAATAATTCCACCCCAGAACGATGCTATCCGTCATCCTATTTTGACGTTGGTATTAACTACATTAAATCCTCCTCATCATGACTCATGAATATTTCATGAATATTCATGCATTACAGTATGTCATCAAATGTATAATGCATAGTGACATAAATACAACTTTAAACAAAACTGACCATAGGCTATTCTGAAAGATCTCTACATGGGATTACACAAACACGTTGTAGAAAACGCTTGGTCAAAACCAGCATGCTCAAGGGATGATTATTTCTACTCTTCCAGAAAAATCCTTCTCGTCTTGCATTTCTAGTACTCTGATATTTGTGTACAATTGAAGAAAAAAAACCCTCATGCTTGTCAGTACTCGTGAATCCCTTTAATTAGTTCGCAATCGTGATTACCCTTTAAATTTGTTGGTATCTATATTTGTCACTTTAATCCCCACCTCTTCCCACCAACCCCCCCCCCCCCCACCCCCTTTTTGTTCTTTATTAGTGTGTGTGTGTGTGTGTGTGCGTGGGCAGAATGCAATGAACCATAAATAGACTGGCAGCTTTAGTAGAGTTACCCCACTCTCTTTTGAGTTCATGCCAATGTTTTCTCTCTTCTACACAAGAAAAAGACGCACATTATCTTCAGCATGGAAAATGGAGTGGTGGAATTTCTCCGTCCTGCTTATTCATTGTCTTAAAATCAAGGTATAACAGCGATATGGAAAATGACATATGATTGTGTTGTTGTTTCTTTTTTTGTGTATGCAATACATGTATAAGCTTCCAATATGTCAAATTTTTCCAGGTATAGGGTGACCATAGAATATAATACGGTATAATGCTAAAGGAAAAAATATCATGTAGTGGTACATATGAATTTGATAGTTGAAACGTTTTAAGACATGCAAATTCATGCTTTGATCTGTTACAATGTACTGCATTTGGACAGCAACAACTTTTTTTATTTTTTTAAAGAAAGCTTCCTTTGCTACTTGTTCAACTTTTAGAAGTACATAATAGCTTTTGTACTTTCAAGGTTCATCAAGGAATATGGGTTACAACATGGCTTTGCTAGAGCACACTACTAAACAACAAACTGTCAAAATAAAATTCTTCTAGTATGGAGTTTAAAAGATAATGGTTTTGTGAGGCTAGTTTTGAAACATAATGGCTAACCACAAATTTTGACCTTTTCTTATTGGCTTGTTGCAAAAGGTTTACCAAGTTGTTGTCAAATTTTGTCCAACATCCATTCAAATGGTAAAGCGATTCCGTATGGATGCAATAATATTTGACATGCAGGTCTAATCTAAGGGATTCATGCTAGGCTGTATGAGAGTTCGCAAGAATTTCTTTTCATATATCGTGTCTGCAAAGAGCAAACATTACAGTAACCTCAAATACTTACCACCATCTTTTTTTAATACCACAAGACATGTAGCCATTTTGGATCTGTGATCCTACTTAGCACACACAGTAACATATATTTCAAAATAATCAACAATATTTTATGACTGCTTGCAAAATTAAATAAATACATTAGAAAATGCATCTGTTATTAGCAATCAGCAAATTGCCCATTGAAGAAAAGAAAAAAAGAAAAGAAAGTTTTAGAGCAGCTACCATCAAGCTTACATCCCAGTTCAGTCAATAGAGAAAAGACAGCTCAAAGTCTCATATATTCAAGAAAATATCAACAAAATGATTAACAAAAGTAATAATAGGATAAGCATATAGCCGCAGTCACAATGGAAAGATTTTTATCTAGCAAGCCACAGCAATCTGGTACACTGTCCCGTCTCGTCTCCATTTCATAAGAAATTAAACCAGAACCACCAAGATCTGGGCACTGTTTCACGAAACCGTCATAAGCACAAGTTCACAGACATCTGGTTGAAACGCTGGTTAAACTTGATACACACGTTGCAATGGGTTGTTGGCAACTTGTACTTATGACGGTTTTGTGAAACGTTGCCCTGGAATTGTTGAGAAAGTTGTTTTGAACGTTCTGAATCATTATGCTTCTTTGGAGTTCTTTTTCGTTCTGTATCAGGAAAATTTACTTCTATTCTTGGAGGCAATTTTGAAATGCAAAAAAATAATGCGTCTGCAGATAAACATGTAGACCAGGACCTGGATTATTCAATTCAATACCTGTACTTGAATTATGCCATTATTTTTTTTATTTAGCACTTGCCGTAGTAAAATAGCACAATTCTTATTAAGATCACATTTAGGAATTTTACTTCAGAGAGCCAACTTCGAACCAATAAACTTACCAATGGCCACTATCATGTCACAAGGCCAATTAAGGAACTGTGAGCAATAACTGCCTTGCATTAATGAGCCTAAACATATTTTGCTGGTATGCAGCTTATGATTCCCTGCCTGTAGACTGTAGACATGAAAATTCGAACAAGGCCTCAGAAAAAATTGTTTGGCTCAAGTCTGCTAGAGTGTTCTTACACTTAGGGTAAAATGATTAGCCAAAAGCTTCTACTGAATAAATAAGTTGGCTCAGTATTTTATCTAGGCATAAAAACTGAGTTAAATACTCATATTTTAACACTGTCAACTAGTATTGAATTGAATAACGGCCCTCATACCTATGCTTCTGATCATTTCAGCTTTGAAACGAGATGGTTATATGACAGATTAATACTCTCATTTCATTGTGGCTTGCTATAAAAAAAAAATTGCCAGTGTGTAACTGGGCAGCGGGGAAGCAGAGGTGGATCTCAGAAGAAAAAGAAAAAAAATGGAGAAAAAAAAGGGAAGCACTTTGTTGACACGGCACTCGGAAGACTTGACCTAGTTTCCTAGGCTGCCATCTTACCCAGCGGTGGCTGTGGTGTGCCCTCCCGGTCCCCCACCTCTGGTGGCAGCGGGGACTGGCGTCCACCAGCTTTCACTGTAAGACACAAAGCAGGGTACCGTCATTCATAGGTGCACAGGGTACCGCCATTCTTGGGTGCACAGGGAAACATGAGCAGGTTTCACGGAACTGTCATAAGTACAAGTTGCCGAAATCCCATCGAATGTATGTAAACTTTAATACATGTTTCAATGGGTTGTCAGCGAACTTGTACTTGTGACGGCTTCATGAAACGCTGTCCTGGGATTCGGGCGCTCATTAAACCCCAGTCACAACGATTCCCAAATGACCGGGAAAAAGACAAATATCTCTGCCGTTCAGGGGGGAATTTAATTTAGGTTTGGTCCTTTGTCAATCAGGGTATTGTTTCACGAAACCTTCACAAGCACAAGTTCAACGACATCCCATTGAAACGTGTGTTAAATTACGCTCGTTTCAATGGCTTGTCTGCAAACTGTATTTTGGTTTCGTGAAAACGATGCCCAGGGTTCCATTTCATAAATCTTATTATCAATGACAAGATAAAATGCACCTGAAATTTTTGAATTGGATTGGTTGTGAGCGAATTTGTTTCATACAAAAATGTGAAACTTGTTACTGATTTCTAAAAAAAAGATTTATGAAACGGGCCCCATTTTCACAAAACGTGTCATCAGTGACAAACGACAGTTTTTTTTTTGTTATAAGCTAGTGAAATCCTTGCTTCTGATTGGTTATCAGCAAATTTGTCACCGATTTTTGTCATTTGTCTTTGAAAAAAGGCTTTGTGAAACAAGGTCCCTGGCATTGGTCTTTGTTGTTGTGACGAGGGTATTAAAACAAGGGTCCCTTTAGATGTTGTTAGAAAAACCTGGGATTAAACCCATTGGAAGTGTGTTAATTCTAATTAAAGCAATAGGTTGAGAGGGAGCAATGATATCACCACAAGCCTGGAAGGAAAAATTTGTTTTTCTTCTCCCATTTTATTCCTCAACGTTTGAGCAATATATCAAGAATCATGGTCAGGATCAAAACTCAACAAAGATAGATATGATGGGAAGAGGGGAGGATTCTTGCTTCTGGCAACGACAGTATTGTGAAATTTAAGGAATATCTACAATCTCGCTGAACAATTTATATCTTAAAATCGTCCTCCAAGTTGTAAATCAGATAATAAAAATGTTCATGCAATGAACAACTATTTTGATGGCTTAATTAACATCCTATGCCCTACAATGGAAGCCTGGAAGAATGCTACTTACTCTCTCCGTTGGGAATGACTGGATCTGGTCCAAACTTCTCAAAGTGGACCACCACGCCACTCTGGACCTTCTGGACGAGGGACTCGAGGCACTGGTTCAGGGTCTTCATAGAGTTCACCATGTAAGAACGACCTGGTAAAAGAAAAAGAGTTAAAGAATTGCAACTGGGAAAGTGGTACTTCTACTTGAAACCTTGAGCATGATAACCTTCACAAGGCAAAGACAACAAGTAGTCATTTTGGTAATAAACTGGTCCTTGTCCCCATAGACTCAAAATTAGAGAGAGTGAATGTGAAAATGTACCATTTGCTGGTAATTTCAACAGGTTCAAATTCATCTGAGATTATGTTTACAAATCAGAATCGGTACTCCTTTTATCACGAGCCTGTACAAATACTTCAGGACGTCTTACTACAAACATACAAGACGAACATATAATGACTGTTCGGTTGTGATTGCTAATCTTCCTAAAAATGGTAATCTATCTAATGTTGCATACCAATGGACTTCACTGTAGTAACTGTTTCAACTCTTTCTCTAACTATCACATTAACTGACGGTCCAATATTTAACCAATTAATATCATTAATGTATCTATACGTAGATTATCTGACATCATTTCTATCTCATTCTAAGCTTACTCCTGTCTGACAGACCTTCTGAAAAGTTATCTGAGGATTTAAGAGACTGATGGCCCGCACGACATCCATACCAGTCTCGCGGGCCTCCAGACAACTTTTCTGAAGGTTCATGGGACCAACAATGTTGGCTTCCTATGCTGTTTAAAGGCCATCTGTACAAGTTCAGCCAGAAGGGATTAGAACACCCAGTGAGGTCACTGACAGGTGGCTATCTCATTAACTCGGCTCTCAATTAACATAAGACAAAGAGGACCATGGGGGACCAACAGGCACTGATTTGGGAAGGTTTCTATATAGAGGGAGCAAGTAGCGGCAAGAAGTACAGTGGGGCTTTAAGACTAATGGGATTTTATTGGCTCTCCTTACCTCCAGTGACATCACACATACTGCTGATGGGTGAGTCATCTGTATTCACCAGGCTGCTTGTAGGTCCCATACGCTCCTTCTCCCCTGCAACCCCCGGCAGACGCAACACCAGGGCAAAGAGCCGCTGATCCCATCTGAAGGGCTCCCTCGTCAGTTCACTCCCGGGTAGAACATGGCTCATCGGCAGCGACAACTGCACGTTCAGGGGAAAGGAACGATAGACCCTATTATTAACGTATTCAATTTTGTCTTCTTTCTCTTCTTTTTCCTGGGGACCTAGTGACGAGGTATTTCATTAACCCATTTTTAATGGATGAACTACTATACTTGGAGTCCAGACTACATACATTATTTGTTGCTATGTCAGGCAAGCCTAATGCAAGCTTCCAGGTTGTCAAGAACAACCTTTCTTTAAACAGTATGCATAAAATTTCAATATGTTAGTAAGTTGGTCTATTTACCAATCATGTATGCATTCAAGGCTGAGCAAAAAATAAACACACATAATATCCTCAGGTCCAGACGAGGGTTCATTCTCGAAAATCAAAGAGAGAATAACTGCTCATGTTGCCCTACAAAATTCTTGTCAGGTACTGGCCAAGTGGGGTGAATTGATTATTGAGCTTTTGATCAAGTGTACAGCTCTTTCCATAATTCATGAAGCACTCAAAGTAACCACACCAGTAGACTGCATGCTGTACACAATTCGGGGAAGGGGCATAGGACGGGGAAAGGAAGAGTATGTTTACATCAAAAATGTGATACATACATCTAACTTTTTCTTGCGGTCAATTGTAAACTATAATATTTTTTGTAGAGAAATTAGTATATATTAAGACCACACAACTACTTTATTTGCATTAAAATTTCAATTCAGAAAGGTTTACCTCTTCTTGAACACCACCGTTGCTCGAAAGTTTATGTCCGTCAGTGATCGCTATGACAATGGCTGGTTCCAGATAGAAAGGGTTCCGTCCCTACAAAAGATATAATCAAATATTAAAATACAATATGTCATGGAAATCCCTAACTTCTCTTTTTCTGCAAAACTTGGGCTTAAACTCTATAACTTGTTAAGCAGTAGCCTGCTCATATATGAAGATACAAATGGCTAGTAATAACTTCTGATAATTAAACAATCTAATAACAGTTTAGGTAATGATAAAAATTTCAAATGTATAATAAGACCCCTATATAAAAAATATATCAAATATTGTTTTGAAAGATCAACATACTAGTAGTCTACATGTACTTTTCACTAAAATGAGGAAAACATTTTTTTCCTTTCAGAAATACGACACTTGGCCACCAGGCAAAGTTTAAAATCAACCACTCCTATACTTACCTGCCCATAGTTGTCAATGCCAGAGTAGAGACGATTGACATTCAAGAGGTCAAAGGTCATCTTGAGGGCATGACCCAAGGTCGTTAGACCCGTGGCCTGCAGGTTCTTGAGCTCACTCATGAAGACAGCTGGATTCTCCTTCCAACCAGCCTAAAGCAGGAAATTAAATGTTGGGTTTGAATAAAAATTATAAATGATAAATCAGAAAATTAGGTTTTAATAGAATTAGACTATTCGTGCAAAATTACACTTTGTAGTTAATCTTAAAAATATTTTTGGTAAAAACTCTACTAGTAATAGTATTCATGTACCAACTACCAAGTGCATGAGCAGATGTGATCCAATATTTGCTCCAACTTCTATTTCAAGGGTTACATATAATGTAGGGTCCTATATTATAGGGTTGAAGTTAAAAATTTGGTAAGTGTAAGAAATGGATGCAATGTCGCATGAGTAGGTGGCGTTTAAAATAAGTAGAAGGGGGAGGGCCTGTTTTGTTTTGTTTTTAAAGATAATTATTTGAAGTAAATAGAGCTGCAGCCGCCTGGTTCCGCACCGCCTGATAAATTAATGTTCTATATAATAGTGATTTTTGTTATATGTAATTAAGAAAATAGGCGCATTCCTGGCACTAGCTTGTTCTTTTATAATATCATCAGATGATTGCCAATTAAAAATAAGTTGAAGAGGTAGAAATTACAAGTTTAGAAGAAATTAATTGCTAGGATAATAATTTTCATCAAAATGTTTGACTCATTCATACGAAATATTTTAATAATTAATATCAGAGATTATACATGCATATGTATACAGCCCATTTTCCAATAAAAAATAAATCAAATTTATTCGAAATTTTGTTGTACAAGTACAAAAATGGAGTGTAGACCTAGTTTAGTTGAATGAAATCAACAAGTGTTTGCATGCCCCATGCCAGCTGCTAACTTCAGCTAATGAATATTCATGTGACCTATCGAGGATCGATTTTAGTTGCCACAATTCAGTCTGAAACAAGATGGATGACTGCAAGTAGGAAGTGTATTTGGCTCTATGTTTGACGCAATATCTTGCGAATCTAGCACTCATCACGACTTATTGTTGAAATATTTTCGTGGAGAAAGTGTCATGGAATCAAGATTTGGCCTTTTAATGACTAAAATATATGACATATGAGAGAAATCAAGGATCTCTGCAGACCTTGATTGTTGCCGGTGACTCGTCGCACGTCACCAACATGTAGCGATCAGTGCGGCTGGCTTGGTCTCGAAGGCGAAGCTACAAAGCAAAACAAAAGAAATCTCATAAAATGAACGTCATCAGCAATAAGCGTAACTTTAAAACATTTAAAATTAACATGACCATATCATCCAACAACAACACAAAATCATGTGCATAACTGGTTTTCATTACAAGCAAAATTATTCTGAACTTTGTAGAAAATTTAATCGATCTCCCAACATGCATTGCTGCTTCCAATACCTTCATGAACGTCTCCACGGCTCCTTTCGCTATATCCAAGAGTGATGTGCCCAAATGTGTCCGCTGATTCATCGAAGCACTGGTATCTATTAGAAAAACTAGCACCGGCATCTTGTTTAGAATTGTTTTATCTATCTCTCATGCCAAAACTGAGTCAAAATATGGCCTTCAAGGCCCAAATCAAGAGTTCCAAGCCCCTTCCTCTTTTTCAGGCAGCCTCGCGAGAGCTGCCGAATTTCAGCAGCAGCGAAATCATCGCGCAAAAAAAAAATGCACTGGAAAATCGCAGCCACATATCTAAGTCACGTGACAACGTAGCCTTCATTCGCTGGTTGGCCAACAACAAGCGCTCTAGTTTGCATATGATTACCATAATAAAAGATGTTGCTAAAAATATCCCGGTACATTTACTACGGCGTTGATGAGCGAGAGAAGATGTTGACTTTATCATGCAACGTTTTTGCAGAAAAAATAGGACATGGATGGCCTAGCTGTGTTTTAAAAGTATTTTTCTTCCTCTCTTCTCGGCAGTGTACATAGTTTGGGAGATGATACACATAGACATTTTAACCGGGGTAGGGGGGAGGGCGTGCTCCACTTTGAAGTTACCCCTCTCCTATCCCCGTAGAATGCCGGATCGCGGAGAAGGAGAAGGAGGGGGGGGGGGGGGGGGGGGGGGGGGGGGGGGGGAGGAGGAGAAAATAAGTACAATAGGTGAAAAAGAGACACACAAACAAAAAACAGAGAGGGGAGAAATGATACGTGAAAGGAGATAAGATTGGTTCTAGTTGGTATTCATGTTGGTGCATAGCGTATTCGGACAACCCTGGAGGTACGTGGGGGGGGGGGGGGGGTCATTTGGTAATTGGGGATTATTGTCCTAGCTACGGGGTATTTGTCTATAGGGGAGGTATATTGTCTAGGGGGTAATTTTCCTAGAATCGAATTATAGTGATCCCCAAACTCCCCATAATGCTACCATTGCAATAATGGGAGTGGACTGATATATACGTAACGCTTTTGTCTTAGACATGTATATGGGAGGATTTTTTTTGTTGGGCGGGGGAAGGGGGGGGGGGGGTCCATGACCCCCATCAGACATGTTTAATCCCGAAGTGTACCAAATAATGTCAATATAATTATGTTCCATTTTAAAGATTGGAAAAATTGAAAACGAGATCGACCACGGATGGGCCTTCTGCTTGCCTTTTAAATTCTCCCAAATCCTTTAGAATGTAAAACGTAACCCCCCCCCCCCCCTGGAGTGCAAATTGCCCCTTCCTCATGAAAGGGGCCGTGGTACCCCTTTCCTAAATTTTAGACCGGCTCCCGACATACCACCATTGGATAGGGTAGGAACAGTAACAATTTTACAGCCGAATTTCGTAGGTCCTCTCGTGCTTTTAAAAAGGTGAAACTGATCAAAAAAAGTGTGGGGAAGACCAAAGATTTATTTCAAAAAGTCATGACAGTTTAAACGATAGGCCTTGGCCTATGCAGGAGACCAATTATAACAACTCTGTCATCAGGCTATGATAGCATAGACTCCTTGTTTACAATCGTGGTGTATGCTTTTATTATCCTAAAACGTCCCTCGGATAGGACGTTAAATGGAGGCCCCGTGTACAGGAGAGTCACCACCCTTGTACGTTAAGAACCCATTGCACTATTCGTATAAGAGAAGGGGAAACCCCGGTGTAATGGTCCACCTGCACACCCCAATCAGGCCGAGTATACGGCATCTGCAAGAATCTTCAGTATTGAAGGAGGCAGATTATCTTGAAGAAGAAGAAGAAGAAGAGAACTTTCCAATATAGGCCTATATGAGCATTCATTATGCATAAGATAAACACAGTAGAGCAGTGCACGTGAATATTTGCATTAACACATTAAATTAACGTACGTAATGATTTTCTATGGAATATCCAAAATGTTACTAAATTGCCGTCAACATCTTTACGAATGTTTTAAAAGGATTGTAAAAAAAAGATTAAAGAGAGAATTGGGAAAAGGTATAGGGAAACAAGGCAAGGAGAAAAAAACACCAGGACGGCCCCTTCCGTTCCACGAGTATTTTTGTTAGTTCAAATTTTCCGGGGGGGGGGGATTGTCTCCTCGGGAAATTTGATAAAAGTGCACACAAAAAAATGTTTAGCAAAATTAATACTGACTAAAGACTGCAACACATTTTTAGGCTTTCGAGGGCCGAAGAGTGCACCGTTTAGACAAATAAAAGGCAAAGTCTTCTCGCTCTCATAATATCCTTCAAAGTGTACAGGCAAATATTGTGGAAACGTGAAGTGTGAAAAAAGTATATTGCTTGTTTTTATACACTGTCGCTCATAAAGTTGGAATATTTTTGTTTTACCCCAATTCATGGAATTATTTAAAAAATAATTTAAAAATAATAGATCTAGATAATAGTATACATTCTCAGATTTTATTGAATAATAATTTGACAATGTGTGTTTTGCGTGACTGCTAAAGCATGTGTATGCTACTATGCTTATCAACTAGGGGACCTACGCCCTTAAGTCATAAATGACAGTAATGAGGATTATTGCCCCACAAAAGGGCACCAATATAGCACATCGACAGGGTTTTGATTCTGGTGTCTCACAGTTACGTATTGCTTTGTCACTGAACCATGACTCACGCAGCGGGGGCTAGGGTAGGGGGCAGTTTCCATAAATAAAATAAAAAAACAGAACTAATGCAATAAATTGTCAATTATTTTTTGCATTTTACCCCGGTCCCCAACATAAAAAAAATCTTCTGGACGGCCATGCATTATGGCTCAACGGGCATGGGAACACATAGGATTTTTAAAAGTTTTTTGCTCATTACTCCACTGCTCCCTCGTCCCTCGTATATTGTCCCCCCCCCCGGTCATTAAAAGAAATCGCCGCCCCTGGTTCCACACCCTAATCTGTATAATCCCGAATCTGGGACAGTTTCTTCTAATAAGTTGCATCTCTATTCCCAACACTTGCCTCAAACCACCCAAGGTGGCGTTTTTAACGAACTAAATCGCCCAGCTTAAAAAGATTTTATTTTCGCCGTTCGTAGAAATTCGGGGACCACGTCATTTTCGGCTTTCAGAAGGGAAGGTCGCGTTTGAGGAAATTTATTAAAAATTATATTTGCCAGATTCTGACTACCTAATCAGCAGTCTTGCACTTTATTTGTGCACTTTATTTTCTGAGCAAGACGGTTCTAGGACACTTATATTACCCCCTGGGCAATCACTCCCCGGCCATGCATTTACCAGCGGGACTTACCACCCAAGGACAATTGCCCCCGGAAAATTACCCCCTAGAAAAATATCCCCTCCTGGACGATTACCTCACGTGGACAATTATCAAACAGACGACAATTACCTCTCTGAAAATTTTGGACAATGACCCCCCCCCCCCCCCGCCCACCCCCCATGACAATACCCCCTTCTGAAATTATCCTAGGGGTGGTTGACCTGGGATAATTTTCCGGGGGCGACTTTCCTGGGGATGATAATCTAGGGGGTAATTTTCCTAATATTTCTGCATGCTGCTCCACTAAAAAGGATAATCATGAACGATAAAGCATGGGCAGATTTTCTGAAGGCCCTATGCATGACTTTGCTAAATCATTTATGTAATCGCTGATGAAAATAGTAACCTAACAAATTGCTATATTGTCGCAACTCATTTTATTGTAGTTTTGTATATTCACGTTTACACGTCTGATTTCCTACGACGGTCCTTTATATTTTCACTCAAAATTAAGCAAACTTGATTAATTGGGCGACATGCGCGGGTCAAAAATGGGAATGCGGCCGGGGCACACGTACAGATTGAGGCAAGGAAATTAGGTTGCTTTCATGCAAACATGAACCGTTTTTATCCGCTCTTTGCATAATTATACCATCTCTTGCCCCCTTTGATAGGTTTTTACTGTCTTGCATATGCTATACAAACACTCTTTGCATCCAATTCCCTCTAGGGATTTCCGGGTTTGGAGAGATCGATTCGGTGCATAATTATGGTTGCAACCCCTTACAATGCGTACAGTAGTCTAATAGAGTCAACTCAGGCCATCATGGCGCCCCCCCTTTATTTTCCATCAGATCCCATGACACAGCATAAAAAAAGGTTTTTGATGTGGGGTCATAGTCTGGTTCCTAGCTGCACGGCAGTTCGGCCACTGAACTAAAAAAATGGGCTCAGCACATTGGCAAAAGTCGGACGCCCCCTTTAGTATGAATTCTCTATTCCCCAGAGAGAAAAAAAAAAAAAAGGATTTCCAGCGACTCAACAATGAAATGTTGTGTGCTTCTGAAATCTCTCAATGCATGACACCCCTATTATGACAATAGGGCATTTTTCGCATCGGGCCTAGTCATGGATCTTGTATCTTCCTCTTTGTTCTTTATCAGTGATGCAGAACAAACATTATGATTGCACTTCTTTACTTGTCGTGTTAAATTGACAGGAATATAAAAAACAAAGTATTGATGTTTTGTTCACGTAGGCCAATGTCTTCAGAATTAAATTATTAATACCAGCGTTAATCTTTTTACAGTAGTCATGATCAACTTATTGTCGCTCCACTGCACTGATTATTGTGTACGCAATCATTGGGATAGATACAGACTCTAGAGGGAGCTGCATTACTTTCTAGATATCCGTAGAAAATCAACGTATGAGGTGAGAAACTTTGCAATAAATGTCATATTTCTGTGTGTAAAATGCTACTAAAAGTTAAGAGGATGGCTTTTATCCATAGATGAAACAATGAAGTATGTAATAGTTGAATTTGTGATGAGTTGGAATGTAATTTCTTTGTCTATTCGTGATGTAATTGTCATTTATTTGCCGGATGCTTGCAACGCAGGTAGTGCAGAGGTCACAGGCAGCGCCATAGGGCTGTGTGTGGCTTACAGGCCTGCGTATTGTCGATGTGTGTCGTCGCTGAATTGCCGGGGCACTGTCGGGCAAATTTGGCGATTCATGATGCGGCTTATGTTGCGGCATGGTATATGTAACGCACTGTACGGACATGGCATTGAGTTCAATGCAAATTTTGCTCTTGCTTTCTTTTCTGTTAAAATCTGGAGACCCTTAAAATTAAGAATAAGAAGAACGGTAGAGTCATTAGCCAAGGCAAGCTATGCAGGTCCTCGGCTAGGCTTAGGCACCCTGAAAATATATGCAATGGCAATGGATACCGGATATGGATTGCAAAAAGCCAATGCGTGAATGCGCCAGTCTTCTGATCAGTAGGGGCGCTGGTCCGAGAATAAGG